TATATATATCTCAAATATTTTCATATATATATATATATATATATATATATATATATATATATATATATATATATATATATATATATTTAGGCAGCAATGTTTCATTGATGCAGGTTTCGATAAATAATATATACAAGTTTTGTCTATTTATTTTGAGTAAGTAATAATCTTTCAAACATTTAAATGCAGTGTCCCTTTTTATATATTCTTTCTCATCATTAATATCTTCTCATTCGCTTCAACTTCCAGAATCCCCTTGCATCTTAGTGGCATTATCACTTTGACTGAGGCGAAATGATTAAGAAACACACACACACACACACGTGCAATTACTTAAAGACTGGGACAACATAAGAGCATTTACAAACTAACAGGAAAACAAGAAGCAGCAAGACATTCATAGTAGATTTTACAAAGAATAATTACCAGTACAGAAGCACAGTCAATAAAGACTATAGCAGAGATGCCATCATGTTCACAGGATTTGTAGGGACCAGTTTTAGTGATGATAGCTGATGAACCATGAACGAATTTATATCACAAATAGATTTTCAGTTCTCAGTGGAAAGTCAGGAATACATACATATATATATATATATATATATATATATATATATATATATATATATATATATATGTATATTTAGGCAGCAATGTTTCATTGTATTTATTTTGAGTAAGTAATAATCTTTCAAACATTTAAATGCAGTGTCCCTTTTATTTTCTTTCTCATCATTAATATCTTCTCACCTTCCAACTTCCATCCTTGCATCTTAGTGGCATTATCACTTTGACTGAGTGATTAAGAAACACACACACACACACACATTACAATTAAAAACTGGGACAACATAAGATTTACAAACTAACAGGAAAACAAGAAGCAAAGACATTCATAGTAGATTTTGCAATTACCAATTTTAGAAGCACAGTCAATAAAGACTATAGCAGAGATGCCATCATGTTCACAGGATTTTCCAGTTTTAGTGATGATAGCTGATGAACCATGAACAATTTATATCAAAATAGATTTTCAGTTCTCAGTGGAAAGTCAGGAATACATACATATATATATATATATATATATATATATATATATATATATATATATATATATATATGTATGTATGTATGTATGTGTGTGTGTGTAATTTTTTTTATTTTAAACTATAACTCTACCTGTGTGAAAAAACTCTGATAATAAAATTTGTAAATTTGTAAATTTCGATAGAAAAGAAAAGGCTAAAAACGTTCGTACGTCTTGAAAATATTAAACCAGCAACGCAATGTCTAGACAAAAGACACCGACGGTGTCAGTCAGTCAGTTATGTGGCATGCGTGATGCACGCTTAGGCGATCATGTATCTTTCGATACATGAATGACTAGGCAGATTTCTTTCTGCGGTAGACCGTTGCCATCCAAGGCTACTGATCCCGGTCTGACCTGCTATATAACCATAGATGTGGTAGGGAGAAGAAGTGAACTTTTCCCAAGGCACGTAAGTTAATTTTATGCATTCGATTTGAATTTGAACTCGAATCTCCGATATTTCAGTCCGAGCCGCTATTAATGTACCGTCAGAGTACCTAAGTTGAGCGTAAATGTGCTCAATACACTAAGTAGAGCAAAACTAAAATGACTAAGGAGCCAGAACCTATCTACCTAAGTTTCACTTACCAGATCCTGATGATCTGGTAGGTTTTATATATTATATATATATATATATATATATATATATATATATATATATATATATATATATATATTGTGTGTATGCATTTAGGCAGCCTTTTTCATTAATGCATGTTTCATTAAATAAGATAGACATGTTTTTTCTATTTATTTTAAGTAAATTCTTTTCATATTGTCGAATAAGCTTTTTAGCATTATCACTGAAACGCGAAAGAAAATCATTATGTTGATACATTTTTTTATTGTTAATCCTGTCTAAGCTTTCGGCTTACATAAGACATTATTAGAGATTACATGTACATAGCGATAAATTAATTAATTATATAACAAAGATAGTATTTTTTTGTTTTAGAATGGTTATGAGGACATTGCAACAATGATATTTTATTTTGTTTCTTCATTTTCACTCTCACGTGCTCATGTGGGACGTCATGAAACACAATGCGATATTTTGCTTCCTGCGTTTCATATGCACGATTTTATTGTTGCATAGCCATTTTCCATGTAAATAAAACCAACTAGCATTCTTGCAATGTCCGCATAAACAATCTAAAACAAAAAATTAACATCTTTGTTATATAATTATTTAATTTATTGTAATGTACATGTAATCTCTGGCGATGAGTTATGTAAGCCGAAAGCTTAGACAGGATTAACAATAAAAAACATGTAGGAAAATAGTGATTTCCTTTCGTGTTTCAGTGATAAGGCTGAAAAGCTTATTCGACAATATGAAAGAAATTTACTTAAAATAAATAGACAACACTTGTATATATTATTGTCATGGGTCCTTACTACAGAATGAACTCTTCCTAACACTATGTATACTACGCCTCGCAAGAGATAGGGACATATCAAGTCGAGCCGATAGTAGCTCACTCCCAACCAGACTGACAGTCATGCTAACACCTTCTACATCTTGTATTATTATTTCGTGTAATATACCTTCGTTATTTCTACTCTTGTGTTCGTTCAATTTGTTTCTTCCTTGGTCCTAAACAGGACCATAGCAATTATACATACATATACATATATATATATATATATATATATATATATATATATATATATATATATATATATATAATGAAAACAGACACTTTAAAAAATTACAATAATTTATTTCACCAAAATACTTTTAAATGATTTCGGATCATCAGGTAACACTTCCAACAATGAAAGTGTTACCTGATGATCAGAATCAAAAAAAGGATTTTGGTGAAATAAATTATTGTAATGGTACGTTTGGAAAGTGGCTGTTTTTCATTAAATAAACACGTTCTTCACATTGAGCTCTCAGGATTTCAGCCTCCTTGAATTTACCAATTCGGTTTACCAAATTCCTCATAACTTAACTATATATATATATATATATATATATATATATATATATATATATATATATCAGCAGATTTTCTTTTATACGTTTCACTGAAAGCGACATACAAGGAAAATCGTATTAGTATTTTTAATCAACTTTTTTCTACTGCTCTTACACTTATCTGTTTTGATGTATTAAAGAGAATGCAGAAATTAACCATAATGGTTATTGTCCCAACTACTTTCGACCAATCCATTGGCCATTTGCGGTAATGTTTTTTTTAATTATTCCCGCTATAATGTTCATAATTGTTTTAGACGCTGTAAAAATCCTACTGATAGAACTTTTCCGCGATCTACCTCAATATATCACTTGTTGCATTGGAACAACTATTGGACATGTATTAAAAACCAATACAATAAAGGGTGTTTCTCTGGTAATTATGTAAGAAATGATCGTGAATTCTTTTAAATTTAAACTTATCATTATTATACATTTATTTATTCGAATATATTTTCATCTTTGTTTCCAATACGAACGCTTCCAGCGTTTAAGTTTTTACTTCGAATTTCCGAGATTTGAAGAAATTTCGGGTCTGCAATTGACGAATCGTTGGGATTCTAAACACCAAGGTTAGGAAACCAGTTAAAATAAATCTATTTACAATTACTTTTAGTAATCTTATGTGATGCTTCCAAATTTTTACTGAAGGGACATCCATCCCAAATGTGATATCTAAATTAATACTTGCAATTTTACTTACGTGTATGATTAAATTGGTGTGTCGTATTTCTGGATATTGACTTCTTCATTTCTCTGCCTGTGGCATGCATGCCTTGTGTAAATCTATATTACACTCAAGATTATACAAAAAAAGAATGCATGTATAGGGATGCGTCACTCATAGAATTGGGGAGGGGTCTTTGCTTAAAAATGAGCCGAGGTTATGACTCTGCTCCACAGAAACACACGAAATCAATTAATCTGTTTACTTTTTCTTGACATATTTACGCAAATATTTATTTATAATGATTTTTATATATATATATATATATATATATATATATATATATATATATATATATATATATATATATATATATATATATATATATATATACGACACACATATATAGATAGATAGATAGATAGATAGATAGATAGATAGATAGATAGATAGATAGAGAACAGACTGTGATAGACATATGGAGAGATTGGAAAATACTGATAGATATATACGTATATATTTCTGAATAAAAACAGACTGCGTTAGATAGTATGCTTGTTATAGAAAATCTGTGCATTTAGACATTATACTTTATTTATATTCGGCATAGAAAGAAAATAGTCGGGCATCCTGCAGATTCGAACCATCTAGGAGTGCGTGCCCAACACCACGTTACTAATCTTCACACTCCAACGGAGTCCCTGTTTTCACACTTCATCTTAAAAATCTTCATGTCTTTACGCGTGTTGATGCTTGTGCCTGAGAGTGCATGCGCAAACATATCCTTCTATGCGTGTTTGGGTAGATGTATGTACGTATGGATGTCCGTTTATACATTTATCATACATCAGTGCATGATTGTCTTTACGTAAGTGACTATAAGTTATTTAGGGTACACGTATGTGTGTCTGTGTATGAGTGATTTCAAGTGTGCGTATTTGCCCAGGGACTCCTGTGTACAGACGGTGAATCACCAGCCAGCGGTTTTGTAAATGATAAATATATGAAAAGAGAGACTTATCGGACCGTTCAGAGCTCGAGGCGTTTTTAATAAAGATTAAACTCGAATCTGTCAGCGGACAGAGATAAAAAAAAAATATATATATATATATATATATATATATATATATATATATATGTATATGTATGTGTGTGTGTGTGTATGTGTGTGTGTGTGTGTGTATGTATGTATGTATGTGTGTGTGTTTCCAGTGATATAAAAATAACTATTCTTTTCTTGCACTTTCGCTGCATTAATTATGCTTGATTGGTTCTTTGTTTCTTTTTACTTTCCTACTGTTTTTCTTTTTCCTTTTCGCCCGTTTTTCCTTCTCTTCACTTTTCTACCTTCTCTTTTTTCTTTTTATTTTGCTTGTTTCCTTTTTTCTTTTTTTTTCTTATTCTTCTCTGTTGCTTCCTTTCTTTTCTTCTTTCATTTTTCATTATTTTTCTCTTTTTAGTTTTACCTTATTTTTCCTTTGTTTTCTTACTTTCTAGCCATAGATTTTCCTTTCTTTCTTTCTTTCTTTCTTTCTTTCTTCCTTTCTTTCTTTGCAGATTGATTAATTTCGTTTTTCTTCTTTCTTTCTTTGATATTGTCTGCTTTGAATAATTTCGTATTTCTTCCTTTCTTTCTTTATTTATTTCTTTTTTTTCGCCTTTGTGTTCTAATCTTCTTTCTTTTCTATTTCACGTGGTTTATTTTTTTTATTTATTTCTTGATTACTTCTTTTTTGCTTATTTCTCCTTTTTTTCTTTGTTACTTTCGTTCTTTAGTATTTTTTTTATGTTTCTCTATTTCCTTCGCCACTGTCTGGCTTCTTTCTTGCTTGTCCACTTTTTCTCTCTTTTTCTAATTCTTTGTTGCTTTCTTTATTTTCTTTCCTGCTTTTCTTTCTTGATTTTTTTCTTTTTTCTTTCTTCATTTCCTGTTTCCGTTTCTTCGTTTCTTCTTTAATCCTTATATCTATATGTTTCTTTTCTTCTCAATTTTGTTCTCTCTCTATCTTGTTGCTTTCTTTTGTTTGCATTATTTCTTCATAACTTTCATTTTTTTCTTCTTTATCTTCTTCTTTTCGAAAACTTTTTTCTTCTTTTTATTTTTTCTACTTTTTTCGTTCTTTTCATTTCATCAACTTCTTTTTTCATCGTTTTCCTTTTCATCTACTTCTTTTTTCTTCTTTTTCTACTTCTTTTTCTGCTATTTTTCTTTTTTCTTCTTTTTTCTACTTCGTTTTTTTCTCCTTTCTGTTCCACATTTCTTTCATGCTTATTTATTTGATTCTTTCTTTGACTTTTATTGCTTTCTATATTTCTTTCTTTTTTAATTCACATTTTTTATTCTGAAACGAAAACTTCCCTCTTTCATTGGTTTCCTCTTCATTTATTGAATGCTGTTTTCCTTTCTTTTTTTTTCTGATCATGCTATTAAGTAGACTTCGATAAGAAATATTATAGGTATATAAATTCTATAGTTTAACTACTTATATCTTTTCTAAAATAATTTATTCACATTTATGATTATGAATATTGTAAGTATATAAGAAAAAGACAGAAATATTTGATTGAATTTATTTATTTGTAATCTAATCCCGTGAGATAAAATATCTGGTAATCTGACTTAAACCGTTAATCTGAAATGATTCTGAAATCATTATGGTCGGATTAACGAACTTTTAGCTGTTTCTCAATATTGGTTCTACTACTAATTTTTATTTGTGTAATTTTTAATTCTTTTGCTTTTATATTATTTCCTTCATTTATCTTCCATCTGAATATTATATTTATTTTTTTCATTTATTTTAATCCATTTCTACGTTTTTTGCCTGAGCATCTTTTGTCTTTTCTATTGGCTTGTTTTTCTTTTGTATTTTCCTATTTCTTTGTTCTGTTAAATTTTCATTTCAGTCTTTCTATCTTTTCTACTTTTTTTTTTCGTATTTTCTCCTCCTTGGCATTTTAAGATTATTTCTGTCTTTCTTTGTATCTTTCTTTGTTTTCAGATTCTTTCTTTTACATTACCTTTCTATTTCTTTATTTGTTTTTCTCTTTCAGATTCCACTTGTGATTTATTCTTTACGGTTACCTTGTAGTTCTTTCTTTCTATTTTCTTTTTTTCTTTCTTTCTTTCTTTCTTTCTTTCTTTCTTTCTTGTGGCATTGGTTTGTGTTATTTCTTGTATTTTCTTGTGCTTCCTTTTCTTCTTTTCTCCTTTCTTTTTCGTTGTTTGTTTTTCAATGTTTTTTTTCTTACTTCGTTTCTTCTTTTCATCTTTCATTATTTGTTGGCTTCATTTTATTCTACTTTTCTTTCTTTTCTATTTTTTACTGTCTGATTTATTTTTTACTTTCTTTCTTTCTTTTTAGCTACCTTTTTTTCCTTTCGTGTTTTTTTCTTTTTTTTTAATTCTTTCATTACACTTCCTTTGTTTTTGTGGGTTTTTTTTGTATTTCTTCTTTTTTACTTGTTTTATCTCTTTAAATCCTGTTTGCTTTCTTTATGTTTTCGGTCTTGCTTTTCGTTGTTGCTTTCTTTTCCTTTTTTCTTCCTTTCTTTCCTTCTTATTCCTCCTTATCGTTTTGCCTCGATTTGTTCTTGCTAGCCTCTTTTCTTTCTTTCTTTGTTTTTCGCTCATTCTTCCTATACTTTTTTACACATTGCTTGTTTTATTCTTTCTTTCTTTCTTCTTTCTTTCTCTTTCTTTCCCTCTTTCTTTCTTTCTTTCTTTATATTTATTGTTTCCTTCGCTTTCTTTTTTGCTGTTTACCTTTTCATTCTTTTTTGTATTATCCAATTAACTAGCCACCTGAGCAGACGTGAATACTTGGGAACAAATAGCCGGCTATTACTTATTATATGTGACGTATTATTGTGAGATTTTTCTTTCATTATTATATTTTTATTTACTCACCGAAATGAAATATACTTTTGATGCCTTTGATTTTCAGTCTCTCAAATAAAGAATAAACATATGTTGGCCTCAAGTGTTGAAACTTCATGAGTCACCTTTTGTTCAATTTTCAACCGAGTTCATTCTATTTGAATAACCATGAATGTTTTCCACCCGCATAGAAACTTTGACTAACCCAATAAACACGAATCGCTTCACTTGTTCAATACGATTTGAAACCATCAATTTATTTGCTCACGCGCTTCCCTTTATTGCTTCTAACTTCGGTGCCTCCATCTGATCTGGTTTTGACCTGCTAATGACCTCTAGTTTTAAACAGCTGAGACCACTAGCCAGTGACATTGTTAAGACCCCGTTTTCTTTCGTTATTGCAATGTTCGCCATTCATCTCATGAGAATAGTGTGAAGAACTGAAATATATTGTTGATCATAACTTTCTAATAGCGGTTTGAAAAACTAATCAACATATTATGTTGAGTCATAACTAATTGCCCTTTTAGGGAATCAATTGTAATGGTGAATAAGACATCCTAACTAACAATCATACATGTCAGTTAACAAAAAAATAATGAGGTTAGTACACTATGATACTGTATTTCGCTGCCTATTAGACGCTTCGATGCATTACACACTCCCACTGATATTGAAGGATGAAATCGGGAAAAAAGTGTTCCATTGTACTTCATTTTCCTTCCCACAATCCCCAATTTTACCCACAGAATACCATATTTCTGCATGAAAACCTGACTAAGCATGGCAAATTCACTACAGATCGAGAAGTGCCAAATTGATGGTAACTATTTAGAACAGAAGTTTGAGTGCATAATTATAATAATAGAAAGGAATAATTGTTACGAGGCGCTACTAAGTATAGGAAGTTGTGGAGTGCTAGGATACCATAAAATCTAATCTTATTGTAGCTTGAAATACTCACTGATCCTGACGAATTAATTACAAACCAATTTGAAGGACTAATTTTAAATTAGGTACATGTAAATTTGGATATAGTAATAAGGTCAAGTTTGATTTATGTATAAGTTAAAATATATGGTAGAACTTATCATACTGCTTAATCCTTATACCGCTATTAATGCTCCAAATCCTCATTGCTGGAAATTTTGACAATTTTATCTCAGCTGCATAAATAGTTTCTCTCAAAACGTTCTTAATTTGATTTTGAAACATTGGACTTTCTTTACTTGTGCTCAAAATCGGATGTAACACCCAACAACATAAACTTATAACTCCTGTCACCCTCTGAATGACGGTGTCGGGAGTCTTAGGACACGGGGTGGTTTAAAGAGATATTCTATAGGAAGAAAAGTCCTATAAGCAGCAAAAATACGGTAAGTTAGTTTTCCACAAAAGTGGCAGCGTACACGGTGTATCAAATGGAATAGAAAAAATTGTTGTTCTTCTCCATCGCAACACAAAGCAACATACAATAAAAATTACAAAAGTTGAGAATTCGATTGGCCGTATTATAATTTCATTTAATTACTCAGCATTATTTGCAATTTTTTCCTGAGTTCATTTTACTGTATGTAGACTTGTGTTGTCATGGGTGATAATAATATTTTTTTCCACTTTACAACCAAATATTAATGGACACGTTTCAACTGATGGACGTATAATATGTTCATTTAATGTTTCGTTGCGTTTTATGAACTGAAATTAATAAGGACGGTATTTCCACGCGTAGAGGATTATCTTTAGGCCACAGATTAAGTCATGCTTGTAGTGATTTATACTTGTCAATCTATTGCTTATTTTGTGTTTGTTGTAAATTTTTGTATGTGACCCGTTTTTCACCACCTGTTCTGATATAGTTAAATATCGGTTAGTTTGAATGTCCCATTCTTCATTAAAATTAGTTCCCAAAAGCGGAAATTATTTATGACTCGAGCTTATTCTTAAATACAACTTATTCAACTAGACTTCGAGTCGCATACAAGTGATCTGAAAATGGACAAACACTTTAGACATAGATATCTATCAGTGTCAGTAGGATTTCCATTATAAATAAAGCCGACTCCGTTATGCGACATGAAAATCATTGTTGTTAGGCAGACGACACCAATGAGGGCTTAAGATTGTTTTCGAGAACAGTCCAAATATTTTCCCGTTGACTATCTCGGTGTCTGACTGGCATCTTTCAAATTTTTAGTTCATATTTGACACACTCAGGCTCACACACAGAGACGCAGACACAAACACACAGAGAAACCAACGCACGGACGCCTCACACCCACAAACACAGAGACATCGTTTCTAGTCTATTCAGTTTCCATGATTTTAATGGTCTATCATCTTTATTAGTTGTATCTAATACATTTTCCTTTCTACCAAAGACTGTACTATTGAAAACTCATTTTTGCTCCTTTAGTAGAGAGAAAGATGCCTACCAAATGTTAAGCAAATTATTAAGAAATAGAAAAATTTCGTTAGAAACTAAGAAAAGGATACCAAACTATTATGTAATATCAGTCCTTCTATATGGCAGTGAATGCTGGACAGTCCAACTCTCTGTTCGAAAAGAGAGTTGAAGCATTAGAAATGTGGTTCTACAGGAGGATGCTGAGAATGCTCTGGAACGAACGTGCGAATAACGAAGACGTTTTAAAGAAAATGAGAAAAAGTTTTGGTTTGGTTTGTTTTACAGCATATCAACCACAATGGGTTATTTCATGCCAACAATTTATTTGTTGATAATATTTTCCCTCAAAAATATATTGCTGGTAATATTTTTTCTTCAAAAAATGTATAGCTGGTAATATTTTATTTGAAAAAATTATTGGTGATAATAATTTTTTTTACAAATACTGTTTTGACCCCAGTTTAAGGGTTGCCCAGAGTTGGGACCCTAACAGGTACTACCACCCCAGGTTAGGGTGGACCTGGGAATACCAGCAATTCCACATTTCTTCAGAACCTCCTGATCAGAGGCATTGTGGTTGGATGTAGTGTATCGTCTTACCCAGGACACGGATGTAGTTTATCGTTATCTCCAGGACGGGGAGTTAGGAAGGACACTTATACATAACATCAGATAGAGCTAGTTAAAAATTCTAGGGCACATAATGAAGAAAGAAGTCTTGGAAGAATTGACACGCACAAGGCAGATTGGCGGAAAGAAGGACAGAGAAAAACAACGCATAATATATTTAGTGGGCTAGAGTAAATGGATGGCGGAGCAATGTTTCGGAGAGATAATAAAAAGACGAAATTTATCAAGAGCCACAAAGGACAGGAAATTGTGGAAAGCTAATATTTGCAACATACTGAATGGAAACGGTACGTCGAAAAAGAAGAATATTTAGAAGTGGTCGCTGTAGTAACACACTTGCGAAGTGGCTCTCAAAAAGAAAAAAAAGTAACTGGTGGCAACAACGATGTGGTTCGACAGAAGAATTCTGAGAATACCATAGACAGAAAATGTGTGCTTTAAAGAACATGGAATCAAAACGTACATACCTACTTAGAAATCTATAAGAGACGAAAAAAAAAATGATATTTCTGTGACCCACGATGAGGAAAGAGGACTTGGAAAAATATGTCACACGCGTTGTATATTAAATGAAGGGCAAACGGAGTCTGCAATTAATCTAATTGTGTAAGTAGATGTCAGAATACAATGATACTGGTAGAAAGGAGACAGTTGTCACGAGGAGCTACAAAGTATAGGAAGTTGTGGAGAGTCATGATACATAAAGAATGGCGTATGTCATTTATAGTACTGAAATAAGTTTTTAAACGGTCTATCTTACCCCAATATTTTAGTTGTAACGGACGTTGGAGTCAAATAAAGGCTCGGAGAATTCCACACTCACAGCTCACTGAATACGTGAGGAGCAGGTGAAAACTGCGAGTAATCAATATAACAAGCTTGTGCAAATTGATTGTATAACAGAGACTGAAAACGATAGTAAGGAGACAAACACTGCTTAGAACTAAAAAGTATAGGATGTTGTGGAGAGCCATCATCGCTCATGTTCTGAAGGAACACATCACATAACGGAAGACAAATAGTTCATCACATTAAAAGCGTTTAAACAATTTTATCCACGGTGAACATTAATGATATATTAATAATAGCAGATGTTAGCAACTGTTAAAGGCTTGGAGAATTCGATGCTCACAGGGCAAACTGATGATTATGATGATTAGAGGAGCTGGGAAGAACACATGGGACGCGGGATGATGCTCACATGTTCAGTCCTTTTGTAGAATTAAATTTTTGTGGCTACAAGATATTTCATGTGTGATGAGCTTACGGACAAATCACATTGAAACCTTGGTTCCTGTACGATCACCGAAGGTGAACAACGTCAAGCCAGCTCAGTAACTAGATGGGTGTCCCCTTGAGAAAACCAGGTACTGTAAGCGTGGGTGGGATAATGGGGAACAATAGAAGGGTGTCCCCTTGAGTATACCAGGTGCCTTAAGCAAAGGTTGGATAATGGGGAACAATAGATGGGTATCCCCTTGTGAATAC